CAATCGGTTCAATCGGTTTAATAAATCGCTTGACAATAATAAGTCTGGGTTTTTAAGATTAGACATACAATCCAGTGATAATCGTCTCAATTCTGGTGACATATGTTTGTTAATTGTTGTCAATATGTTATCAATTTTTATTATATTTGCTGTTATAAAATAAACACTGAATTTAAACAGTTTAAGTCCCGGACAATTGCGGCCAATTGTGGTCAACAAATACCAATAAATTCAATATCACCGAAATTGGGCAACAAATTCAAGTCGAGTTGTCGTAATTTTGTCATTTGTTCAAAACCTCTCATCAATAAATCGATTGAAATAATTTTATAACTAAACTGATCCACTGATACGTCCAACGATTGCAATTGTTGGCCATAATTGTCGGCAAACTTTCCAAACATTGGCAACAATTTTTCGTTTAATTTGATTGTCATAGACTTCAATGATTTGGGTAAAACATTAGCTGAGAATATCATATGAGATAACGGTTTAGTATTCATGAAGATATCAAATGTCTGCAAATTTTTCAAACTATTTATACATTTAGAAAATACATGTCTATCCGTATCTATTAGACAATTAGTAGCAAACTTTATAGTCAGCAATTGTTTGGCAAATTGACGACAAAAACGATTAAATAGATGGACAACGGTTAGCACCGAAACACTATTTTTGTTTAGTAGATATAAGTGTTTCAATCGATGACAGTATTTAATCAGTAATTTTAAATACTTTCCGCAAAAACCAATTGTATTTATAGTAACTGTTGTAATGTTTGGCGACTTTTTCAAAATCAATTCAAACAATTTCATTGACTTATTATTATTGCGTCTGTTTTGCAATGAATCCATTGATAAACTATTCAATAGTTTCCAATCAAATACGAGATCAGTTTGTGTATTGAATATCAATGCCAACCACTGTTTGGACACCGATTCCAGTCTTAGTTTGTCATCGATTGGCAGATATTGAAGCAATAGTTCCGCCAAATCATCGCCGAAACGATCAAACGAGTCCTTCTTCACAGTCATCACTAGTGATGGTGTTGTTGTTGTTGTCTTTATTAATGTCTTCAGCGATGTCTTCAAAAGTTTTTCAAATGTGTGTTTGTATTATTCAAAAACTTTTGAATAAATTCAATCAAAAATGTTAACTAAAAAAAATAAAATAAAACATTAATTCAATGATAACAACAACAACTCGACTACTAATTAATACTTACATTGATTTTCACAAATCAATTGCTATTTTAATAATAATAATTATATTCAAAAAAAACAAACAATAAATGCAATCAAATAAACTAATATTTAAAAACATTTAATTAATTGAATAGTAATTATATAATCAATAATAATATCAAATAGTGATTACAATAACATTAAATAAATGATTTAAAAGTAAATTAAATAATAATAATAAACACAAATATTAACCAAATATTTACTATTATTTTTCAAATACTGTATATAACAAACTTACTGTAATTTTGAGTATTTGATACTTTTATAGACTATTAGACTTATATTTATCAATACTATTACTAACTAAACTAAATAAGTACCAATAGTTTGTTAAAGTAGATGCAACAAAAACGTTTACTAACTGTTTACTAAGCATTTATTTATAACATATGCGCGCAATGTTTATACTGTTTAATACTATTTAAAGGCGTGGCCTATATACTATGTTATACATATAAACTATAAAGTATATATATATATATATATTGTGTTTAATATATGTTTTTGTAGTATTTATAAGTACTGTATTTTACTGTCAATAAATAATTATTATTTAATAAAAAACGTTATTAATGTCTATATTTGTATTACTTTACACTGTATTTAATAATAATAAATAGTGTTTGCAATGCATGTATTGCGTCAACAAATAAAAAAATATTTACAGTTATTTGTAAATGTAATACACATTTGTATTACTGTTTGTTTAGTACTACTAATAATAATACAATAATTATTTATTTATTATTTATTTGTTTGTTTCTAAACAGTATTTATTATATTATATTTTGTAATACAATAATATAGTAATAATAATAATAATAATAATAAAGTAAATAAAATAAATAAATTAATTGATTAATTAATTGTTTGTATAAGTTATACATTTAGACTATTGTGTAAATAATATTTTTAATTTTTTAATTACTTATTTTATTAAATAATATAATCTTTTTATTTTAATGATATTTATTATATGATTTTAATTATAAAGTATTTTTGGTATATTTTTTTAGTTTAGATTTTTTCTGTCAACAAAATCAAAGACTATCTGAAGGTCAGTGAAGACAATGACCACAACAACAGCAATGAAGGACTCGTTTGATCGCTTCGGCGATGATTTGTGTCAACTATTGCTTACAAATCTGCCGATAAAAGACAGACTTAAACTGCAATCGGTGTCCAAACAGTGGCAGTCATTGATATTCAATACACAAACACATCTAGTATTTAGTAAAAAACTATTGAATAAAATGTCTTTGGACTCAATGAGTGACTATTATCAGACAATTAAATTGTTTCATCTGTTGGTCCGAAAGTGTCGGAACATTACCGCAATTACCATAAATGTTGGGTAAGATTTTGAATTTATTGTTTGTTTGTTTGTTATAATAATTATGACATAAATTATGATTTTATTATTAGTTCAACACTTCCCGGTGCTGTCAATATGTTGAGCCGTTTCATTGATTTATTGATCAAATACTGTCACCGATTGCGACACATCTCTATAAAACTTGATTACGACGGCCTCTGGTCGGTCATCGACCGTACGTTTGAACGGTTTTTCTGGCGTTTCGGCCAACAGTTGTTGACATTCAAGTTTTTCGGCTATAATCATGAATTCAATAAACAATTGTTTTACGAAGTGATCGACGGTATGCCTAACCTGAAGACATTGGATCTCATTTATAGCCATCCATTGAATATTGAAAGTACTGTCCAATTGGACGATATATTTATCGGCAATAATATGTGTTATTTATTGCCGGAATCGTTGCAATCATTGAACATAAAACTTTATGAATCATCGCTTCCTTTATTCGCTAATTTTGCCGATATTTTTGGCCACCAATTGATATCATTAACTCTAGGGTTTGAGGAGTTATTTGTTAATGACGAAGAAGAACAAGAAGAATGGGCCGTTGATCTGAAGCCATTATCGGCCGGTTTTCGACAAATGCCGCGATTAAGACAACTTAAGTTTGATTTGCCGATCGATTTTGCGATAGACTTTAATGAGGATTTATTTTCGACAATTGGCTGCAACTGTCGACAACTTCGATCACTGGATTATAAATCAAATATTGGAAATATATTGAAAATTAAGTCAATGTTTATCGCAATTAACAAATATATGTCTAAACAATTGAGACGATTATCGCTGGAATGGAAGTGCGATAATGTTGACGACGACAATGAAGACTTGGAAGAATTATCACTGACCAGCGGATCCCTAAACCGATTGCACCGATTAACACATTTGACAATCCGGTTACACGAATGGGATATAATTGGCGAACAATTTTTTCAGGACATTCATCTGAATCTTCCGCGACTACAATCAATACACTGCGACAATGCGCCCATAACTGAGAAGTCTGTCCAATCTATTGGACAGTTAGCACAGCTGATGGATGTCTGTATTCTGTCGGATAACACATATACGGCTATAAAAAAATCCTTTATTTTCAATCATTTACTGAATCGATCCAAAGCTAAACACTTGTATTTACAATATATGGATTCAGTACGTGTTAGACAACGGATGTTTAAATGTGGAAAATATCTAAATAAAGATTATAGTAATTATAATAATATTAATAAAATTATTGATGATAGCGATGATGACAGTATTAGTAGTGGTATTGATGTTATTATTAATAGTTATAATTATACATTATATGATAGCGATGATAATTATCAAATTAATACAATTAGTAGTACCAGTAGTAGTAGTAGTAGTAGTAGTAGTAGTAGTAGTAGTAGTAGTAGTAGTAGTAGTAGTAGTAATAGTAGTAATGATGACACTTATAATGATAGCGATTATATTATTAACATCAGTGATAGTGATTAGTATTTTTTTTTTTGATAATAATAATAATTTATAAATTGTATTATATTTATTATATTATAGGATTGTACAGTAAATTATATATTATAGCTATTATTATTATTATTATCGTATAATAATAAATTCTAAAATTATTTTATTCATAGTCATAACTAGTGTCTTGATTTCCAACTAAAAAAAAAATTATTTTGTCGGTTCAACGCTTATAACTGGGACTTAGTATGTCCACCGAAGTTGACCAGTGGACGCTATTTCCGAAATTTTATTATAACTATAAATAACTATTTGTTGGGTTAGCCAACTATAAAAACTTATAAATAACTATTTCATTATGACTAATAAAATATAGTCATTAAATTGTAAAATATTGCACAAATATATGTAAAAACAAAAAGTAATAGTTATATAAATTATATAAAATGTGTAAACTGTTATCAACTCATATTACTTTTTTTTAACAATAGAAATAATTAGTTTATTTATATAAATCATTTTTGTAAATATGATGAAAACAAGTGAATTCAGAAATCAGTTGAAATATTTATAAAATAAATAACTATTTCAATAACTATTTGGCTTTTTTGGCAATTATATACAACTATTTAATAGAGTATAAAAAATTATTAATCAATACAATAGTCATAACTAAGTAATTATATTTATAATTAAAATGATTCAATAATTTTTATTTATTTTTTTTAATTTCAAAAATCTTTTAATTATATAATCGATAAATTCGATATCCAATTCATTGCATTGTATTTCATTATATTAATAAAAAATAGAGAGAAAAAATTTAACAAAAAAATATACGGTTTATATCAAAATATGTTTTTTTTGTTAGTAATTTATAACAATTGCTATTAAATTGTAGTACAAAAATTGTAATCATTATAAATATATATATATTTTTAATATAATTACTGAAATTAATTCAAATGTTTTAGTATCCAAACTGCTGTATGAATGAATAGATCGGAGTCGACATCAACTTTTCCGAGTTGATGACAATCATCGTAAACGTGGCACCGGGTGGTCACACCCCTGGCTCGCAATAGCTGATACCAACGCATACCCTGACTGTACGGTACGCGTCGATCCTTGCGGCCGAGTAGCATAAGTGTCGGTACCCTTACATTGCCGATCCATCTAATCGGCGATCGATCGAACATTACCCGCAACTGGTCGCCAGTTGGCGGCTGTTTAGTAAAATCGTCGTCACCGGCGGCGGTGCCAAACGATTCGCAGTAACACCAGTCGGGAATATCGGTCATATCTTTCATAACAGACATATCGATGACAGGATTCAGGGCTACACACGACCGGAAATTCCAATCAGGGTATTGACCGCTCAGATGGGCGACCAGAAAACCGCCGTGAGATCCGCCAAATAGGACGACATGTTTGCTGTCGACCAGTGATTGTTCGTGCGATAAGTATTCCAGACATTTGATACAATCTTTGACATCTTTGTCGCCGACGTTACCGATTAGGTCGTCGACATACTGTCGATCCACTCCAAGAGATCCTCTATAGTTGACTGAATAATAATAATAATAATAAAATTTAGTTTTTAATTATAACATCAATAGTCTCTCTCTCTCACTCTCTCACTCACTCACTCACTCATTCACTCTCTCTCTCTCTCTCTCTCTCTGTCAGTGACTCTGAGGACAGACCTAATAATGTTTTGAATCCAAGTCTGGCGAATAGCAACCGATATATTGAAAAACAATTATAGGCCAAAGCGTGAGGGCCGCCGTGCGGTATCAGTACAGTCGGCGCGGGTTTCGTTGCCACCTGAGTAGGACTGACCAGAATAGCGGTAATCAATTTGGACGGATCGTCAGCACTGGGCAGCCAGTAGTTGTTGTACGTCAACTCCGTGGCCAACGATCTACTATTATCCGATTCATCGCTCAATTCTAGCCATTGGACGGTAACTGAATTTTTATAGCCGACATTGAGTCGGCCGACAAATACATTGGGCCTGACGTTGACCGCCGAACCGACAACAACAGCGATATCCTGGCGTAGGTCAATGAGTTCGGCCGATGGCAGCGGAAATTGGATTGGCGTCCACTGTTTGGCAGCGATATCCACCAAACAGAGTATTAAGTTTAGTTCGGTTAAACAGTTGACCACTAAATGTTTGCCCGATTCTAGGAAGCATTTTTCGGGCAGTTGGTTCAAAAATAGTGCCGCCAATTGATCACTATATCGTAGATTACCGTCGGTGTCGACGACGATCTCGCGTTTACCGTTGCTATCAATAATAGTTTCGGTCGATTTCGTGACAAAATCATAGCGCCGTAGACGAAAGGCCGTATGATGAGGACCTCCGCTATCGTTCTCCAAATAGACAAACGATTGGCCGTCGGGAGCGATACGCGGATCTTTGACACAAAGATTATTCAGACCGCAAATCAGTTGCGGTTTTGCATCAATGGTTCCCTCAGTAGTAGTAGTAGTGGCCGTCAAATCAACAGTGAATATACCACTCAACCTATTCGGACAGTAGGTTAAGCCCAGTCGTCGCGGCTCTTCAACCCATCCGACAAATCCGATCCTATCGTCACCAGTGTTTCCGATCCAAAATGGCTGACCCAACGAATAGCCGTCCATTTCGATGACACGTATTTTATAGTCGGCATCCGTGTCCAGAATGGCTACAACCGTATGACTGACGCCATCGTACAGTTCTCCCCAGTCGTCTCTATGTGTGTGTGTGTGGACAACAAGTTAGAGGACAGATATTATTTAATAAGAGATCCATAATAAAACCTGTAGACAAACTCCTGACCCCTGGTATCGGTAGACTCTTTACCGCCGGCAGTGCTATCGTCACTCTTACCAGTCTTCGCCACCAACTTCTTGTAGAACGACTGGGCTTTCGGTGGCTTAAATTGAGCCGTATATAGTAGTCGGCGACCAGTTGGCGACCACTGAAAACTGTTAAACTCCTGTCCCGAAACAATTGACAAATGTTCGTCCACTTCGTTCAGATCCAATGACTTGAGTCGAGTCGACTGATCCCAGATTTCAAGCCATTGTTTCTGTTTAGCAGCCGATTGCGGATCTTTGGCACCGTTTCGTATAACTGCCCGAAGACGACGACGACGCGAGTCGCCAGAAGTGGCCAATTCGGTCGCCGCTCTAAACACAACAACAAAATAATTATCGGGTAAACAACATGTATCCGCACGCGTGTATAGACTACTAGTGCTAGTAGTAGTAGTAGAACTAGTTCTTACTCATTGGTCACGTCTACGGGTTGGCCGATAGCAGCGGTCAATCGTTTACAGTGTTGGCCATCAGCTCTCAATTTGAGCAAATGTTGGGTCTGGTGTCGGGTCGGTTCCATGCGATCCAAATCCCGTACTTTCCAGTCAATAGTCAACGATTGTTGTTGTTGTCGGTTGAGACTACTGTTGTCGGACGGCTGCTGATCACCGCCTAATAGGCTAAGCCGACCGGCAACGGGAATCGGTTTGCTGACCTCCGACCGATACAAATCGGCCAATTGGTCCAACTATTTATTTAATTAAAAAAATGTATGAATACATCGGTAAAATTTTGGTCAACAATTCATATATCATATATGATATGATTATTATTACCTGAAGAGTACGTCCATCGGCAGTGATTACCGAAGTAGTGTCTATCAAAAAATGAGAGGACATCACAACATGAAATCACGGGCGAGTGTTGGCCATTGAAACAAAATCAATTGCGAAACACACACTTACCGTTAACATATTGGTCGCCGATAACTACAGTGGACATCGTGTCTGTGTGTGTGCCGTTAGTATACTATGATTTTTACCGATAGTTTAACACCGAATAATAGACGCAATAATTTCGGTAAACAATAACCAAACAAACAGTGTATTCAATAATAATGTTTTTTTTTGTTTTGTTTGTTATTACAGTTTGTTATTACAGTATTATTGTATTACTTATTATTAATACTGTATTAATAAACTAAATTTATAAGTATTAATATATAATACAGTGTATAATGTGTTTAATCTACTGTATGTTTTAGTAGTATTTCTAATGGGCTGTTCACACATTACGTTCGCACTTTTTAAGAAATCTAGACCCCTTCCTCCCCTATGTTCGCATGTCCCTAACCGCTACCCCCCCCTACAACCACAAGAAATGAAATATTATCTAAATTCAAACGTTCTTAAAGTCTCTACCCCTCCCTCCCCCTCGTTCGCAAAAGTTCGCTTTGGCTAACCCGCCCCCTCCCTTCAAGTGCGAACGTAATATGTGAATCACGCCTAAGTAGTTTACTGTCAATAAATAATAATTATAAAACTTTTTTTAAAAAAGTTTTATAAATTTTAATGCATTTAATAATCAAATAGTTAGTTGTTTTTAATTATTGTAAAAAAATGATAATTACTTGCTAGTAGTTTATTATACAGTGTATTACAAAACTTTATTACAATTTTTTTAAAAATTAAAAATAATATAGTACTGTAAAAAATCTATTCAGTTTAAAAATAAAATAATAACTAAAAGTAAAACATTTTTTTAAAAATTCAAATATTTTGTCTCAGTATTTAAACAAAAATATATATTTAATATACAATAATAATAATAATAGCAATAATATATAATTTACTGTACAATCCTATAAATATAATACAATTTATAAATTATTATTATTATCAAAAAAAATACTAATCACTATCACTGATGTTAATAATATAATCGCTATCATTATAAATGGCATCATTACTACTACTACTACTACTACTACTACTACTACTACTGGTACTACTAATTGTATTAATTTGATAATCATCATCGCTATCATATAATGTATAATTATAACTATTAATAATAACATCAATACCACTACTAATGTCATCATCGCTATCATCAATATTTTTATCATTAATATTATAATTACTATAATCTTTATTTAGATATTTTCCACATTTAAACATACGTTGTCTAACACGTACTGAATCCTTATATTGTAAATACAAGTGTTTAGCTTTTGTATCGATTAGTAAATGATTGAAAATATAGGATTTTTTTATAGCCGTATATTTGCTGTCCGACAGAATACAGACATCCATTAGCTGTGCTAACTGTCCGATAGATTGGACGGACTTCTCAGTGATGGGCGCATTGTCGCAGTGTATGGACTGTAGTCGCGGAAGATTTAGATGAATGTCCTGAAAAAATTGTTCGCCAATTATATCCCAGTCGTATAACCGGAGTGTCAAATGTGTTAAACCGTGCAATCGGTTTAGGGAATCGCTGGTCAGTGATAATTCTTCTAAGTCTTCATTGTCGTCAACATTATTGCACATCCATTCAAGCGATAATCGCTGCAATTGTTTAGACATATGTTTGTTAATAGCGACAAATATGGCCTTAATTTTCAATATATTTCCAAAATATGATTTATAATCTAATGATCGAAGTTGTCGACAGTTGCGGCCAATTGTCGAAAATAAATCCACACTAAAGTCGGCCCCAAAATCGATCGGCAAATCAAAATTAAGTTGTCTTAATCGCGGCATTTGTCGAAAACCGGCCGATAATGGCTTTAGATTAGCAGTCCATACTTCGTCGCCGTCGTCGTTGTCATCATTAACAACTAAGTCATCAAATTGTATGGTCAATGATATCAATTGGTGGCCAAAAATATCGGCAAAATTAGCGAACAATGGCAGAGATGTTTCGGCAAGTTTTATGTTTAAAGATTGTAACGATTCCGGCAATAAATAACACATATTATTGCCGATAAATATATCGTCCAATTGGACAGTACTTTCAGGATTGAAAGGATGCTTACAATTGATATCCAATGTCTTCAGGTTAGGCATAGCGTCGACCACTTCGTAAAACAATTGTTTATTGAACTGATAATTATAGCCTTGAAACTTGAATGTCAACAACTGTTGGCCAAAACGCCAGAAAAACCGTTCAAACGTACGGTCGATGACCGACCAGAGGCCGTCGTAATCAAGTTTAATAGAGATGTGTCGCAATCGGTGACTGTATTTGATCAATAAATTGATGAAACGGCTCATCATATGGACAGCACCGGGAAGTATTGAACTATAAGATAAAAATCATAATTTATGTCATAATTATTATAACAAACAAATTAAAAATCTTACCCAACATTTATGGTAACTGCGGTAATGTTACGACACTTCCGGACCAACACATGAAACAATTTGATTGTCTGATAATAGTCACTCATTGAGTCCAAAGACATTTTATTCAATAGTTTTTTATTAAATACTAGATGTGTTTGTGTATTGAATATCAATGCCAACCACTGTTTGGACACCGATTGCAGTATAAGTCTGTCTTTTATCGGCAGATTTGTTAGCAATAGTTGACACAAATCATCGCCGAAGCGATCAAACGAGTCCTTCATTGCTGTTGTCATTGTCTTCACTGACCTTCAAATAGTCTTTGATTTTGTTGACAGAAAAAATCTAAACTAAAAAAATATACAAAAAAAACTTTATAATTAAAATCATATAAATATCATTAAAAATATTATATTATTTAATAAAATAAGTAATTAAAACATAAAAAAATAAAAAAAATATTTACACAATAGTCTAAATGTATAACTTATACAAACAATTAATCAATCAATCAATTAATTTATTTATTTAATTTACTTATTATTATTATTATCACTAAATTTTATATTATTGTATTACAAAAAATAATATAATAAATACTGTTTACAAACAAATTAAATAAAAAATAATTAATTAATTATTATTATTGTATTATTATTAGTAGTACTAAACAAACAGTAATACAAATGTGTATTACATTTACACATAACTGTAAATATATTTTATTTGTTGACGCAATACATGCATTGCAAACACTATTTATTATTAATATTATTAAATACAGTGTAAAGTAATACATATAGACATTAATAACGTTTTATTTATTAAATAATACATACATTAATACTGTATTAGATTATTGAAACCACTCTAGTGTTGTTAAATTCCCACCCAATGTGTGTTCCCTTTAAACAATTAATAGTAAATAATTTAGTTTTATTACATTAAGATTATTACTATTATAATAATAGGCTTTTCACAAAGTCTTTTCGTATGGTGTCTAAAAAATTAAAAGCTAAATTTTTCATTTAATATTATTTAATTGCATTCAATATATGTACCCTATTGTTGAGCAACATTTAAACATTTGTCATGTAATTTTTGGAACCCTTCCACAGAACAGCTTTTATTCTGTAAGTGAAAAAAGAGATCGATGTCTTGTACGATATCCTCTATTCCTCTCAAGTTTTAGCCATTAAGGAATGTCTCCAAAAATCAAAACAAGTGATAAATTTATAACTCAATATCGGGAGAATAAGGTGTATTATCAAGCATTTTTACCAATAGCACCATAACTTTTTTAAGTCAATATTAATATTTCAAGTTACCTGTAATTAGCTAATTAGTTAGGTGTAAAATAATGAAGAATAAAAAACTCAAATTTTAAAAATATAACCGATCTATTTAAGATTATCATATATGATGGTCACTTTTACCAATAACTTATAAAGCAATTGATAAAATAATTTTGTGGATCAGGGTCGTTAAGGTCACACAAAACGTCATAGTCCACAACTCATTGTTGTAAACTTCTTTGATTGTCTGCAATTGTTCTGTAACTATCTAAAAATATACAATATTATTTTTGTAGTTGTCTATCATAAATTAATGTATCGTAATCAGTTTCAATTCGATTGACTTCTTTAATAACGTTTAACAGAGCATTTTCGACATCATGACAAACTCGAAATGTGTTTAACATTTTTAAAACTATTTAACAAATTTTTCAATTCTTGCAGCCAAAAAATTAAAGTCACAAATTAAAGATAAACATCTTATATCATAATTAAAAGAGTAAAATCAATGATACCTTTAAAAGTTTTTACAGTAATAACCTAACTTTTAGAACATACATAATGCGAAAAGACTGTGAAAAGCCTATTATTATAATATATATATATATTTTTACTATTGAACCGACATTTTGGTCAAAAGCACGTGAATCGCGGGTTATTGTTATCCACACGTGTGTTGTTGTTATATAAGACAAGACTATATTAATTAAAGACATTAAATACGTAAAGATTACTGAAAACAATGACCACAACAACAACAACAACAACAGCTGTTAAGGACTCGTTTGATCGCTTCGGCGATGATTTGGCGGAACTATTGCTTCAATATCTGCCAATCGATGACAGACTAAGACTACAATCGGTGTCCAAACAGTGGCTGACATTGATATTCAATACGGAAACACATCTGGTATTTGATTGGGATCTATTGGACAGAATGTCTTTGGTCACAAACCGTGACAATTATCTGATAATTAAGTTGTTTGAACTGATTGTCTCAAAATTACCGAACATTACCGCAGTTACTATAAGTAATAAGTAAGTGGTTTTGAAATAATAACTATTTTTCTAATAATACAATATATAATACTAATTAAAACCCCGATTTACTTTATAATAGTTCAATACTGTCCACTGTTGTCCATCTAATAAACAGTTTTATCAATTTATTGATCAAATACTGTCACCGATTGCGACACATCTCTATTGGACACTATTATTTAGGCCAGTGGTCAGGTATTACCGATCGTATGGTTAAATTATTTTTCAACCGTTTCGGTCAACAGTTGTTGACATTCAAGTTTGTCGGTAACCTTAAAGTCAATGAAGTCGATAATCATATATTCAATAGACAATTGTTTTACAAAGTGGTCGACGGTATGCCTAACCTGAAGACATTGTTTATAACATCTGTATTATTGAATCATTTGTTTATCGGTAATAATAATAATAATAATAAGTGTCATGTTTTGCCCAAATCGTTGCAATCATTGAACATAGAACTGGACAACTTGTCGATGCCGTTGTTGGCCAGGTTTGCCGATATTTATGGCCAACAATTGACATCATTAACGATATGGTCTAACAGGAAAACAATTGGTAGCAATTTTATCGGCAATTTATTTACGACAATTGGCCGCAACTGTCGCCAACTTAAATCATTAGAGTTTTACTTTCTTATAAAAAATATGTTGACAATTAAGCGCATGTTTTCGGCAATCAATGAACATATGTCACCACAATTGAGACGATTATCACTGAATTGTTTGCCCAAACATACGCCACAATATTGGTCGGATGTATTGCTGACCAGCGATATGTTAAACCGATTGCACGGATTAACACATTTTACGTTTAAGTTTTCTGAATGGCCGGCAATAAGCGACTCGTTTTTTCTGGACATTCACCGCAATCTTCCGCGACTACAGTCCATACATATTGACGAAGTGTCCATAAGTCAGAAGTCGATCCAATCGATGGGACAGTTGAAACATTTGACGGATGTCTATCTCCGATGCGATCCATACAATGATATTACTCTAACTCATCTACTAATTGATACTAAAGTTAAACACTTGTGTATTGAATACAGTGAATGGTATATAAGGTATATAACAAAATCCAAATAAAAAAAACTTTTTTTAAATATCTAATAAATAATAATTTTCTTATTTATTTATTTAGACAGACAGACATAGACATATGGGACGATTAAAATAATATAAAAATATAAATTATTTAAAAAAAATTAAATTTCAAGTATCGGTACTATTTTTAAACAAAATTATAACCATATAATAAAACAAATAATTATATTTACAATATTTATATATTATTTAGTAAAACATTTAATTGATTTGAATGATTATAATAAATGTAGAAAACAACAAAAAATTGCAGACAATATTTGACACTAGAATATATTAACAATTAATTGTTGTTATTTTTTACAAAGTTTTATTAACAATTAAAATTATATAGTTTTATATTTATTTATTTATTGATAGTAAAATACACTAAAAAATTTAGTTAACTAGTTGTACACTACAAAAACATAGATTATATACAATATATATATATACAATATATTTACTACATAAACACATTTTATATTTGATTGAAATTTTTTTAAAAAAATATCATATATAAAAAAAATATTATCAGTAAACAAACAGTTAGTTGACTGAACATATAATGCATAAATAAATTAGATATTAATAATAATTGTAAAATCAAATTATAATTAATTTGTAGACAAAAAACAACAACAAAAATGTTTGGCTGTCTCTTAAATATTTTTTTTTAAAAAGTTACATCCGCTATAATCACATTTCAATTAAATTGAATGATCGCTTGATATGTGTTGTTGTAAACAATGATTTGTTGTAAAACTTTTCAAACACTCATTAACTGAACAATGAAATCGTTTTTCATTTAAATGTATTAATTGATGTCTAATTAAATTAGATTTTTGTGTAAATGTTTTATCGCAATAATCGACACCACATTTAAATGGTTTGTATTTTAAATGTATTGTTTTTTCGTGAATTTTTATATAATATTTACGAGTAAATCTGTTATTACAATAATTACATTTAAATCTATTCATAAAATGAATACTAGATTTATGTTTATTTAGATTAGCTTTTGATGCAAAAATTTTGTTACAATCATTAAAATCACATTTGAATTTGACATTCAAATGCTTTTGTAGTTTATGTTGTTTTAAAGTAAATTTATTCGTAAAATTTTTATCGCAATATTCGACATCACATTTGATTGTTTTAATCGGTAAATGAATTAATTTATGTGTCAATAAAACGTATTTATTTCTACTAATGTATCGACATTTAGGCCAAAAGCACGTGAATCTCGTGTTATTGTTGTTATCCACACGTGTGTTGTTGTTGTCATAACAGTCACTATAATCAGTGATTTTCATAGAAATGCAATCATTTGTTGTGATATTCATTGCATTCAAGCCATCAATCGTTTCACATAAAACAACATTATTTTGTGATAAACTATTTGTTTTAATATCAATACTATTGTGTAATGATTTTAATTCATTTAATTTATTTAACATATAATTAATATCTGAAATTTTATCATTTATTAACTCCATTATTATATTAATAACAATAATTATAATTATTTTTTATCAAATTAACAGAAACTGCTGATAACAACAACAATAATAATAAATAATAAATAAAATATTTTCAGTCAAACAAAACAATACTTTTGTTATTTTGGCGCTTATATTGTGTTTTTCAATAGCAATGGATATCAATACTAAAACTGATACTAAAAAAAACGTAAAAATTGGAATCATGTTATCAGAACATAGATATATATATATAAAATCTATATATATATATATACATATAAATATATGTACTGTAAGTTTAAGCCACACCTTAAAAATGGTATTAAACAGTATAATAATTGCGTGCATATGTACACTGTTCAGCAAAAAAAAACAGTTGATATAATAACAAGTCAACAAACAGCAAACAATTAACAATTGGTACTTATTTAGTTTGAGAGTCTAGAGTATTGATTAATAGAAATTTTGTAGTCTATAAAAGTATCAAATAACAAAGTATAGTTAATCTATATTATTGTAGTAAAAACAGTAAATATGGTGTAAATAAATGCAATGTTTTTGTTATTATTATTTGAAATGTGAGTCACTATTGATATTATTGTTGTTGTGATTATAACTACTATTGTATTAATAAATAATTAATTAATTGAAATCAATGTAAGTATTAGTAATGTTATTGTTGTTGTTGTCATTGAATTATTGTTTTATTTTTTAATTTTTTTAAGTTAACGTTTGGAATGAATTAATTGAAGAGTTTTATAGCATTATACTGAAGATATTGAGGTGAAGACTACTGAAGACAATTACCACAACAACAACAGTGATGACAGCGATGAAGGACTCGTTTGATCGCTTCGGCGATGATTTGTGTCAACTATTGCTTCAATATCTGCCAATCGATGACAGACTAAGACTACAATCGGTGTCCAAACAGTGGTTGGCATTGATATTCACAACACAAACACATCTCGTATTTAATAACACACTATTGAATAGTTTTTCATTGGATTCAATGAACAATAGCGATAAGTCAATGAAATTGTTTGAATTGATTTTGAAAAAGTTTCCAAACATTCAAACTGTTACTATAAGTCCGATATATTTTTGTGAAAATTATTTTGAATCATTGATAACATACTGTTACCGATTGAAACATCTATATCTTAGGCCCAGTAATAGTGTACAACTGATGAATTATGGCGACCTATTTGACCGATTTTGCCATCGATTTGGTCAACAGTTGCAGACATTAAAGTTTGTTAGATATCGCAGAGATATCGATACACAAGTCTATCAAAAAGCTATCACCGGTTTGACAAACTTGAAGACAGTGGACATCACCGATAAATTTTATAATATAAGCCCATTATATCATACATTAACTGCTGATTTGTTACCAAAATCATTGCAATCAATAAAAATCAGATTAAACTACACATTTTTGCCAGTATTTGCTAAGATTGTCGACATTTATGGCCAACAATTGACATCATTGGACGTATTGGTCGATAGGTTTACTGCTAATGAAAGCTCGGATCAGAAGTCACTATTGATTAGCACTTTCGGACAAATAAAACAATTACGACAATTAAAGTTAAAATTGATGACCAATTTTGGCGATTCAGGATTTGCTGATAAATTGTTGGCCACAATTGGCCGCAATTGTCGCCGACTAAAAATGTTTAACTATAGCTATTTAATAACTACAAGTCCATTGAAAATTGATGACATGTTTGACTCAGTTAACAAACATATGTCACAATTGAGACGATTAAAAATGGATTGTTTGTCCAATTCGGACGATTATGACATAGAGGTATCACTGGCCAGCGGTTCACTAAACCGATTGCACGGATTGACACATTTAACAATTTGCTTACACGAATGGGGGTTAATCGGAGACAAGTTTTTTCAGGACATTCATCTAAATCTTCCGCGACTACAGTATATACACTGCGACAGTACATCTATTACTGAGAAGTCTATTGTCTCAATGGGACAGTTGGCACACTTGACGGATGTCTATCTACCCATTAGTGATCCGCACAAACTGACAACAACTGAATCATTTCTAACCCGACATTTACTAATTGGTAATAAAGTTAAACATTTATATATTGAATACATGGATTCAATGGATAGGGATCAACATGAATTAAAATATGGAAAATATTTAAATAGTATTAATTATGATAACAATGATGATAACAATAGTGGTATTTTTAATTTAGACATTGATTACCATTACGATAGTTATAGTGATAATAGTGACAATGATAGCAGTGATAATAGTGATGATGATATTAGTGATAGTGATGATGATTTAAGTGACATTGATGTTAATGTTGATGATATTGATGATAGCGATAGCAATGATGATGAAGATAATAATGTTTTATAACTTTTATTTATTTATTTTTTATACTTAAAGTACATATTTATGGAATTTTTTAGTTTTAAAATTATTTGTATTTTAATTCCTATTAATAATTATCAACACACACACACACACATTTATATAATCTATATTTAATTAAAATATTTAATTATATATATATATATCAAATTATATTATTAAAAAAATTTATAAATTTATTGTTTTTTTATTTAAAGTTTTTAATTAAATCACATTTGCTATAATTGTTGTCCCAATTGAATGGTTGCATAATTTAATTAGTCGTAAACAATAATTTGTTGTTAAATAGTTAAATGACTTGAATAATCAATGAAATTACTTTTTACTCAAATGTATTATTAACTGATGTCTTTTTAAATGAGATTTTTGACCAAATGTTTTGTTGCAATAATCGACATCACATTTGAATGGTCTATGTTTTAAATGCACTGTTTTTTCGTGAATATTTAAATTAGATTTAGAAAAAAAACTGTTATTACAGTGAATACAATTAAATCCTTTACCAAAATGAATACTAGATTTATGTTGATTTAAATTTGCTTTTGACGTAAATTTTTTATCGCAATCATTGACATCACATTTGAATGGTCTGTATTTTAAATGCACAGTTTTTTCGTGAATTTTTAAATAAGATTTATTAAAAAAACTGTTATTACAATAACTACATTTAAATTGTTTACTAAAATGTACACATAATTTATGTTGATTTAAATTTGATTTTGTTGTAAATTTTTTGTCACAATACTCGACATCACATTTAAATGATTTAATCGGTAAATGAATTAATTTATGTCTTAATAAATCGGTTTTATTTCTACTATTGAACCGACATTTGGGCCAAAAGCACGTGAATCGCGTGTTATTGTTATCCTCACGTGTGCTGTTGTTGTTGTCATAACAGTCACTATAATCAATGATTTTCATAGAAATGCAATCATTTGTTGTGATATTTATTTCATTCAAGCATTCAATCGGTTCACTCAAATCATCGCTATTTTGTGAAAAACTATTTGTTTTAATATCAATACTATTGTGTAATGATTTCAATTCAATTAATTTATTTAACATATTATTAATATTAATAATTTTATCATTAATTAACTCCATATTTATTAATAATAATAATTATTATTGAAATTATTAAATTAATAACAACTGCTGATAATAACAACAAAAATAATGATAAATA